GTTCTCACAGACAAGACACACGTGGGTTTACCGTTCTCACAGACATGACACACAGACATGACACACAGACATGACACACGTGGGTTTGCCGTTCTCACAGACATGACACACGTGGGTTTACCGTTCTCACAGACATGACACACGTGGGTTTACCGTTCTCAAAGACATGACACACAGACATGACACACGTGGGTTTAACGTTCTCACATACATGACACACGTGGGTTTACCGTTCTCACAAACAAGAAACGCGTGGGTTTACCGTTCTCACAGACAAGACACACGTGGGTTTACCGTTCTCACAGACATGGCACACAGACAGGACACACGTGGGTTTACCGTTCTCACAGACATGACACACGTGGGTTTACCGTTCTCAAAGACATGACACACAGACATGACACACGTGGGTTTAACGTTCTCACATACATGACACACGTGGGTTTACCGTTCTCACAAACAAGAAACGCGTGGGTTTACCGTTCTCACAGACAAGACACACGTGGGTTTACCGTTCTCACAGACATGACACACAGACATGACACACAGACATGACACACGTGGGTTTACCGTTCTCACATACATGACACACGTGGGTTTACCGTTTTCACAGACATTACACATGTGGGTTTACCGTTCTCACAAACATGACATACAGACATGACACACAGACAGGACACACGTGGGTTTACCGTTCTCGTGCAGGAACCTCGTGGCTTGCTCCAGCTCCTCCACATCTCTGAAGGTCACGCCCTTCTCCATCATCTTGTTCTGGACACACAGCCTGTCGGCGACACACATTGGACACACATAGCTCATGTCAGCGACACACATAGGACACACATTGCTCATGTCAGCCACACACATAGGTCGTATCAGCGACACACAGACGACACATATAGGACACACATAGCTCAGGTCAGCGACACACATAAGTCGTATCAGCGACACACATACACTGTATCAACAACCCAGAGTTGTACATTGACACGACAAAACTGTCTCTATTGTACACTGCCAGTGTTGTCAGTTGTACATTGACACGACAAAACTGTCTCTATAGTACACTGCCAGTGTTGTCAGAGTTGTACAGCTGTGAGTAGATATATATATATAGATATATATATGGGGGTGGCTACTATAGAAATGTTCTGCACTATTGTTATTAGTATTACTGTTTTCACTAGTAGACAAGAGGAAACAAGGCCCCCCCCCCCTCCCCCAGGGAGCGTGTGACTCACGTGTACTTGGATCGGTTGAGCACCGGTTCCTTGGCGGCGTTGACCCGCTCCACCGCCAACTCTCGCACGATGTTCTGTAACAGCAGATACTTGCGGGGGATCTTCTGTTTGACCAGGTACTGTGTGCGCGACCCTGGGGACACATCGTACCGACATACAGACACGTACAGGGGACACATGTGTCGTGTAACGACATACAGACAATGTGGGACACATGTGTCGTGTACCGACATACAGACACGTACAGGGGGCATAGCTGCCACTCAGGAATTTCAAAAAAGGAGGAAATTCATGCGAAGGCGGACGCGCGCTCTCCGAAGGCCGGAGTAAAACCAGTGAGATCCAGAGGCAATATATACAGGAAAATCTAGCCTATGGTTTTCGAAGGGAAAACTGTCATATTTATTAACCATAGGCAACTGAATTAAAATGTATTTGAAAAAACAACAACAACAAAAAACAAACAAAAAAACAACAAAGGCAGTAAGTAGACTACCAAGCATTTGAGTCACTTTGACACAGTTTGGACTTGGTGACTAAAAATCCAGTGTTTGTGCTTTCACTTTAAACTTGTACATCGATGTAGAGCGCGCGCAGTATTGGATCAAAGAGGCCACACCTTTGCCGCTGTACTGAGCACATCGCGCAGTATTGGATCAAGGAGGCAACACCTTTGCCGCTGTACTGAGCACCCCTGTACAACTGCAGTCCCGTTTGCACTGACCTTAGTAGATCTAGATCTAGTCCCTCTGTAGAGTGGAGATCTCACCTGAATTAAAATTACACCCTAGGCTATCTAATCTAGAATCTAGATCTAGTCCCTCTGTAGAGTGGAGATCTCACCTGAAGTAAAATTATAGCCTAGGCTATCTAATCTAGATCTAGTCCCTCTGTAGAGTGGAGATCTCACCTGAAGTAAAATTATAGCCTAGGCTATCTAATCTAGAATCTAGATCTAGTCCCTCTGTAGAGTGGAGATCTAGATCTAGTCCCTCTGTAGAGTGGAGATCTAGATCTAGTCCCTCTGTAGAGTGGAGATCTAGATCTAGTCCCT